CTATTTGTGTAAACTGATGTGGTTGTTGTGTACCCTTGAGTGGAAACGAACCCATAGCTGGCCCTCCAAGTGGGTTTTCAGAGGCAGTTAATCACTAGGGAGGAGATCTGTCCATCCTTCTTCTGCACATGTATTTTAAGTAAGTAATTATATTCCTAAGCGCCCCTCACTGTTAAACACCTGTAAATAAAGGTCATTCCCTTTGAAAATAAAGAAGAGAAGCCCATCAACCAGAGACTCCTGTGAGTTCAAACATTTTCCCAGAAGATTCTTATGAGACCAGAGCATTTTCCAAGCAATCTTTAAAAAACAAAACGAACAACAAAGCCCAGCTCTTTTGTATTGGGCGTATGCTAGCATACAGCCTGGATATTTGCAGACAGGTCAGAGTCAACCATTACTAAGTGCTTAGGAATCAGCCCTGCTGTGCAAACAATACCTGCTGGGCTACTGGACGCCTGGCAAACCTTCCGACAGTGACTGCATGCTGCCCATTGTACCAGGAAGTGCACCAATCTTATTTCTAACTTCTCACTTGGTTTAGAGCCTACCATGGCTTCACAGTGAGGGAGCTCTGGGGCCTAGTGGGTAAGAAACTGCACTGTCAACCCAACGACAGGTAGTTCAAATCTATCAACTGCTCCAGGGAAGATGGATAATCCCTCCTCCTTGATTTACAGCCTCTGAAAACCTGCTGGAGGGTCAGCAACGAGTTGAACTACTGAATAAAAGTTGGAAGACTCAAACGGACAAAAACTTCCTCCTATCCCAGCCACAAGAAGCTGCTCTCCACAATCTCACTGCACTAAAAGGAAGTATAGTCTACAGGGGGAAAGTAACTATGATGCCAATGTTAGCTGACTGTGTGGCACTGACTATCCCTATTTAAATCAGGAACTTAAGATACCATTACCTTAATGCATACACAATCCGTGATGTTAATAGATTGTAACTCAAATCACCATTATGGCATCAGAAGTGATCCCTAGCTTACCTTCCAGTGGGTATTCCAAGGCTGTAAACTGCATGGGAGGAGAATGCCCATCTTTCTCCAACTGGGCTGCTAGTGGAATCAAAGCACCACAGAAGACTATGGGGTAGCAGTGGAAGTCCCTACAGTCTAGCCACCAGAGCTCTCTGAGATGTCTTGGAGAAATGTCAGCCAGAGTGCTCCTTGGAAGCAAGGACAACAAAGCTCCATCTCACACACTTTGGACATGTTGCTAGGAGAGGCTATTCCTTGGAGAAGGACATCATGCTCGGAATCGTGGCATGTCAGTGAAGGAGAAGACAACTTGTGGAAAGAAGAACTGACACAATGACTGCAGCAATGAGCTCAAGTGTGTCAGAGACGGTGAGGCCGGCACAGGACAGGGCAGGGTTCTGCTGTTCACAGGGTGGCCAGAAGTCATGCTCGACAGCTCTTAACAACAACCTACTTCTATCTGTTTCAGTTGTTGGATCTCTAAAGCAGAAGGAACAGGAGCTGCTTCCTTCAGGTCACAAGAATGATAGTAATAATTACTGTCACTTACTATCAAGTCACCTCCAATTAATGTACATCAGAACAGAACTACATCCTATCGTTTTCTTCCAAGGCACCTGTGGGTAGGATCAAACCTTCACCTTCTGGTTAGCAGCAGTCAAGTGTGTTGACTATTTCTACTACCAAGGGACCTCATTAATAACAACAAATGGTTTTGTTAAATTCAACTTATTTATTGGATTGAATTGGAAACCCATTCACACTGTACAAATTTTAAAAGGTGCAGAAACAATTCAACAAAACCTCACCTTTCTTAATGGTCATGCTTGAACAACATGATGAACATATGGAATGTATATATACTGTCACTTAAACATTTACCACAATAAAAACTACAAACTTCATTCTATTTCTGACTCCTAGCTACTCCATCTCCTTTCAAAAACCAACTGTACATACTTAAAGAAATGGTCTCGTGTTTTACAAGTTGTTGTTGTGTACCACTGAGTCAGAACCAACCCACAGCTGACCTTCCAGCAGTTTTTCAGAAGCAATTAATTGCAGGGGAGTCAACTGCCCATCCTTCTCCCGCAGAGAAGCTGGTGGGAAGCTGGTGGCCTCAAACAGCAAGCCTTCGGGATTGTAGTGCAGCTTCCTGCAACTAGACCACCACAGCTCCCTTTTTTTTACAGTACACACAAATATAAACTTCTTCTATTTTTATTTGGTGCTTAGATTTACCAAATGAATGAAGTAATACTATATATATAAATACACACACACACTCTCTCTCTCTCTCTGTCTCTCTCTCTCTTTGCATCTTGCTCTTTCACTCGACTCTATCTTAGGAAGAGTCTATATCAGTATACGGAGAGCTGCTTCATTTTTTTTCTTAATTTTTATTTATATATTCATAGAGAAAAGAGAAAAGTGACTTAGTATGCATACTATTGTCATTGACTAATAGCAATCCGCCAGAGACAGACCAGTTGGCCTAGGGGACCAAAAGCGATGCGACCAAGCCAAAGGTGGGTGACTCGAATCCGTGGCCCTCAGACCTGTTTTTCATTGTTTTTGCTCAGTCTTCTAGGTTGTGTAGCCCTGGGGTGTCCACTTGCCATACAGGGGCAACTTGTGGTCGCTGTGAGGCTGAACACTGTGACACTGATGGGTCCAACGAGATAATGGTTACCCAAGCAGACAGGGTTTGGTGGTGCTCCTTGATTAAAACAAGCTTGGAAGCAAGAGTGGCATCCACTTCTGTAAACAACTTGCCTCTGGAAACCCTATGACCCTGGAGAAAGGATGAAAAGTCGCGCACGCACGTGGTGTCGAGGACTTTCGTTCATAGCAATGCTATGAGTCACCTACAACTCGAAGGCACTTAACAACAACATCTGTCCTGTTAGGACTAATCCCATTAGCCCGACTGACCAGTCCTGTATCGTCCTCACAATTGTTGCCATGTTTGAGAGCCCCTGGTTGCACCTCTTGTGTCAATCCATCTCATCAAGGGACTTCCTTTTTTTCACAGATCCTCTGCTTTACCTAGAAGGATGTCCTCCTTTCTTGGATGGGTTCTTCCAAATAGCATGTCCAAAGGACATGAGATGAAGTCTTGCCATACCCACTTCTAATCACAACTGTAGCAATGCTTCTTCCAAGACAGATATGTTTGTTCATTTTCAGTCCATGGTACATTCTTCATCAATGACGTAATGCAAATGCATTGATTCTTCCCTAGTTTTTCTTATTGTCCAGCTTTCACATGCATATGACATAAATAAAAATACCACTGGTTAGGTAGGCATATAGACAGCTCACTAAATTTTGACAAATTTAATTCAACCACAAAACAACTGGGTAACAACTATCCTGACTTTTAAGATCACAGATTACCTTTGCCTCTATTTGTACTTCCATAGACAGAGTAATACAGTATGTGCTCATTCACTGTGTCTGCTTTCTTTCCTTACCCTCCTGTTTGTGAGATGTATCTGTATCTGTCACTTGTTCGTTCTCACTGTCCTACAGTACTTCACTGTGAAGAAACCCCTGTTAATTTATCCATTAAACTGCTGATGGGCATGCTTGTGGTTTCTAGTTTGAGATTATTCTGGGTAATGTGCTATGAACATTCTTTTTAGAATTATCTATTTTCATTTCCCTAAGAGTAGATTTGTTGTATAGATACTCAGACTCAAAACTCACACTCACTGCTGTCCCTCAATTCAGATGCCAGGTCTGTAAATCACAGGAGGAGACTATCATCTTCCTCCTGCCGAGAGCTGCTGGTGAATTTAAACCGGAGCAGAGTCACACACAGCCTTTGTGTTGACCGTGCAACTTGCCATAGACTACACCACCAGAGAGCCCAACTTCACTTTGTTGTTGCTGTTGGGCGCCACTGAGTGGGCTATGACTCACAAACCTATGAACAACAGATGTGAACACAGATCTATCCTCTCCTGCTCCGTCCTCACAATCTTTGATATGCTCAAGCATTTCATTATTATCATCTCTGTGTCAGTCTATCTGTTGAGAGTCTTCCCAGGAACAGCTAAAGAGTTTTTCAAAGAAACTGCACGAATTTATCACCGGCAATGTATGAGACCTCCCCAGAACACCATCAATTATAGCTATTTCTCACCAAGAATTGTTATTTCTATCTCTTTAAGTTTATCCCTCTAAGCAAGGCTATAGTAGAATACGGTATTCTACTGTCAGAATACTACATTTCTCTAATGAGTAATGGAGACCAGCACCCTCTCATGTTTACTGGACACTGCGTTATCACCTTTTATAATGTGTCTATTTCGATCTTATGCCCATTTTTCTATTGAGTTATTGGTTTTTTCCTTATTGACCTATGGGGTTTTTTTCTCTATTGTTAGTATGTCTACACATGAATATCTTCTCCTATCCTGGGTGTTGGTTTTCTTTTTAATTGTATTATTGGCTCAAAGATAATTCTCCCCAGTTGCCTTCAAGTCAATTCTGGCTCATGGCAATGCCTTAAGATACAACAGGATGGCCCACAGAGTGTTCCTGGATGTAATCTTTACAGAAGCAATACGACAAGGTGGCCTTCCGCCCATGGAGCTGGCTCAGATCAGCAGCTGACTGTCAACTGTAAACTGCCAGCAGGGATCTTTTTAAATGAACAGAAGTTCTTAATCTTAATACAACCCAATATCTTTTTCTTCTAAAGATAGTGTTTTGGGGAGGAGTGTAGAGTGAGAGCAGGAAAAGAATGTCTAGATAAGGAAGTCTACTTTGAAGCAGATGAAAGGAAGGACTATCCAAAAGGAACAGATGATTAGACACTGTATATATGACAATTAATCTGGAAGAAGACGTGCATTACAAAATGAACTAGTGAGGGGGAAGGAGAAAAACGTGTATCAGCGAATGAAAAGTCATCCTTCCTGTAAACTTGCACTAAAATCAAACTTTAAAAAAGAACAACTCATTCATTAAAAAATAATAAAAGCAGTGTGGTTTAGGACCCTTTTTAAAAACTCTCAGTATATATGCCGATTAAGAATTGGGCAAATATGGCCCTGCTGATGTGGAAGACACCACCGGAAGTGGGGCTGCAGACAGTAAAGATGACGATGACATTGATCTCTTTGGATCTGATGAGGAGGAGGAAAGTGAGGAAGCAAAGAAGCTAAGAGAAGAGCGCCTTGCCCAGTATGAGTCAAAGAAAGCTAAAAAACCTGCACTAGTTGCCAAGTCATCAATCTTAATAGACGTGAAGCCGTGGGATGATGAAACTGACATGGCAAAACTAGAAGAATGTGTCAGAAGTATTCAGGCAGACGGCTTGGTCTGGGGCTCTTCCAAGCTAGTACCTGTGGGATATGGTATTAAGAAGCTACAGATACAGTGTGTAGTTGAAGATGATAAAGTTGGCACAGATATGCTGGAAGAACAAATAACTGCTTTTGAAGACTATGTGCAGTCCATGGACGTGGCTGCTTTCAACAAAATCTAAAATCCTTCTGCTTGCAACAATAAAAACTTTAAAAAAAAAAAGAAAATGCACATAGCCATGTAAGGTCCCAGACAGACTTCGTGTCTAGGAATCCTACAAGATAGAAACCAACAATATAAAACAAATCATGCTATCACGTTCTGATTGTCTGCGGAACACAAGGAATGATGAAGACATCCTGATATTTACTCCTGTTGTAAAGGAAATGCAAAGCCCAGTAGCGGTATCTCTGATGAAAGGCAGTCGTCCCAGCCCCCACCCATTCATTCCACAGACTCGGCAGTGACTGCCAGTGCCTGGAATGAGGCTGTGATCCTCCTCTGTGAGGTCAGATCATCCAGCCCCACCTGAGAAAACAGAGCAAAAGAAGTTCAATTCACCAAGAAAACAAGGAGCCCTACTCAAACTTTTCCTAAATTAGGTCTTTAGAATATGGTTAGCTATTTTGTTTTAAAACACAGGCCTTCTCTCAACCAACCTTCTCTCATCTCCAAGTCAGTATTTTAATCTTTGATTATCAATTAGTCCTTGATTAGCAACACATGCCCTGTCACTTGCCTAAACACTGTAAACCACTGGTGTTCCTCCAACACACCTATAATTTCAGGAGAGTGATCCTATTATTCAATTTTGCAACAGGCCTCAGGCCATTATCACTCTGCTGCTGGGCACCAAGGACCACTGAGCCTCAGAGCAGGCCTGAAACCAGAAGAGAAGTCAGTGGCCAAACCATGGAGCCCACAGCGTGACTTCCACTTTGCAGGCTCTGACCGCCAAAACATACTTCCTTCCCCCAACTCTTGAAAATGGGAAGGTGTTTTAATGGCTAGATTTTATTTATAACAAAACTTCCACCTGGAAAACCCCTAAGGAAGACACACGCATTTTCCCATGAGGGCTGAGACAAGGCCACGTGAAAGGTGGCCTAGTGGCAAGAAGGTGTGCTGCCATTCCAAAGACACAGTTTGAGTCCACCAGCTGCTCTGGGGAAGAAGGATGACAATCTCGTCCCATGCTATTAACTGTCTCTGAAAACTCACTGGAGGGTCAGTTATGGGTCAGTTCTGATAGATGGCACGCAACAATGAAGAAACTTGCTTTCCAAAGTGTTATGAAGTACAAGGAAGCAGCTTCAAAACATGGTGAAACTATGTGATTCTGCTTAATTTAATGACTTTTGGAGCAAACTGTTGTTGACTAAAATAAGAATTTGCCCAAAAGGTGATACAGACGCAAACTCTTTCTGTTTCTAACTGCAAATATAAAAAGCAAACAAACCTGTCTTGGAACAAGGATAGCCGGAGTGCCACCTAGAAGCAAGGATGGCGAGACTTCATCTCACACACTTTGGGCATGTTGTGAGGTGGGGCCAGGCCTTGGAGGAGAACAGCATGCTGCGAAAGGTGGAGGGCCAGTGACAAGAGGAGGGCCCTCAGTGAGACAGGCTGACAGAGTAGCAGCCATGGGCATATGCACCACAGTGACTGTGAGTCAGAGACTACTCAACAGCACATGGCAAGACACAAAGGGCAAAGCCACTAGATTGTTTTTTAAAAAAATTTTTATTTTATTAATTTTATGAAATTTACAGAGATTTTGAATTTTCATTCATTCATTATCACACTTTTTCTTTACACCCCTTCCCCCAGTTCACTCCTCTCTTTGAAAAGCAAAAGATAAACTTGAGTGGGGGGAGGGCTAGACAAGGAGAAAAGTGCAACAATGAATGAATGGAAATCCAAAACCTCTGTAAATGTTCATTTAAATTATTAAAATAAAATTTTTAAAAAAAAATATAAACTTGATTCTTGTAACAAGTCTTACTTATTCTTATAATGAGTCTTACTTATTCTTATAACTTATTCTTTTCACTCTCTGACAGAAAAGATGAAAGAATGAGCATCAGTATCATCGCAGGTTTACAAAAAAGATACCAAAAAGTACACTGCTTCCTGACACAGGTAGCAGACTAACTAGTAGGTCTGGTCAAACTCGCCTTGCTTGAGACAGAAAAAAACTGTTTTTACAAGGGAATTAACCTTGATTGCCATTTCCTTCCCTCAAGTTGTTTTAAAGGATTTAAAAATTGACCCCCAGGGTTCTTAGAGAGGATGCCATTCATTGGGCCACAGACTTCATCTGGTATGGGCAGTGAGAGTTTAATCAGGTGTGGACATGTAAGAGAAGCACCTCTGTCAGGACAAGGTGGCTATGTCCGTGAACTCTTCTGAACAATAAGAGGCTTTGCAATGACATGGGGCTCTGTAAGAGACAAAGCTCACTTTTGTCTTCGCTGGGGAACTGGCTGCCAGCTATTCAGACAATCGCCAGAGCAAGCCCTGACTGACGGCCCAGCTCTGAGGACCCAGCCGGAGCATCATTTGGGAAAACAAAATTTAACACATTCATTCTGCTGCTTTCACCTGCTCACCCTCACCTATGCTTCAAAGTAGTTTTTTAAAAAGAACTCAAAAGATCTCAAAAAGAACTTACAAAAAAAATTACTACACTTTCTGAAGAACACTGGAAGTGAAGTATAAAAATCAGTATCAAGAACACCCAAAGAACTCAGTGTTTTTTATTCACAGAGGAAAGGCAAATAGGTTTTACTTATCTGACGAGCGAGAAAATGACTTTTCCCTTCCAATGGATTACTTAGTGGAGAGAATGAACTATGTGATCTTAGTCAAGGAAGGTGGTGGATCAGGGAAATATGGACTAAACTCTGTAAGTCATTTCCAAGAACTGACCAGTTCTCTTTTTCAACAAAAAACCAAATTCCTTCACACACTCATTGCCACTGAGTAAAAACCGACTCATAACTGATCCACCAGCCAGTTTTCAGAGCCTGCAAATCATAAAAAGAAAAAAGATTTCCCATCCTTCTCCTGAGAGGTAGGTAGTGGATTGGAGCTGTGTGCCTTTGAGGTGAAAGCACAGCTCCTTATCCACTAGGCCACCAAAGCACTAGTATTTGAAAATACTGCTGCTGTCCTATCAACCCAAAGGCAGGTGGTTCAAATCTACCAGCTGCTCCATGGGAGAAAGGTGAGTCATCTCCTCCTGTACAACTTCCATCCTCTGAAAACCCTATGGCCACCTATGAGTTGGTTCTGACTTCAGGGCAATGAGTGAGAATATTTATATACAGAAAGGTATCACTGTATTGTTACTGTAAGTTGGACAAAGAACAAGGATGACAGCAGAAAATCAATGCCTTTGAGTTGTTATGTTGGAGAATAGCATGGAACATCCCATGGATTGCCAGAAGAACAAATCTATCTTGGAGGGGTAGCAGTGTGCTCTTTAGAGAGAAGAAGACGGTAAAATGTCATCTCACATTCTTGGGACACGTCCTCAGGAGAGAACAATCCTTGGAAAAGGACATCATGCTCGGAAAGGTGAAGAGAAAGAGACGGAAACCCTCAACAGGATGATGGATTAACACAGGGACTGTACTGTTTAGAGTGTACCAAAGGCTGTGAGGCTGGCGCAGGACGGGGTCAGGTTCACGTCTACTATGTACAGGGTTGCTGTCAGTCAAAGGCAGTTCTGTGGCGCCTAACAATAACAACTTGCTAAAGCTCCTATACGGATTGAAGGTAAACATCAAGAAAACAAAGATTCTCACCACTCGGCCAACTGGCAGCATCAGTATGGATGGTGAAGAGATTGAGATAGTTAACAGTTTTAGTTTACTTGGTTCCACAGTCAACACTCTTGGTAACAGCAGCCAGGAAATCAAGAGATGAACTGGCATTGGGAAAGTCAGTTGTGAGGCACCTCTCAAGAGTACTGAAGACCAATGACGTCAGGCTGGAGACTAAGATGTGCCTGATCCAGGATATAGTCTTCACAATTATGTGCCATGCGTCAGAGAGTTGGACAGTGAACAGGGATGACAGAAAGAGAATTGATGCCTTTGAGCTGTGGTGCTGCAGAAGAATATAGAATATACCATGGACTGCTAGGAGAACAAACAAACAAACAAGTTTGTCCTAGGGAAGGTGAAGCCGGAATGCTCCTTGGAGTTAAGGATTCTGAAGCTTCGTCTGACATACTTTGGGCATGTTGCAAGGAGGGACTGGTCCTTGGCTCTTGACATCATGTTTGGCAGAGTGGAGAGGCAGCGAAGGAGAGGAAGACCTTCGGTGAGATGGATCAATTCTGTGAGTGGAGTGGTGGGAATAAATGCATTTGGAATGGCAAGGTTGGCACAGGCTAGAACGGCGTTTAGAGCTCTTGTACATAGAGTCGCTATGAGTCGCAAGCAACTCGAAGGCACATAACAACAACAACAAGAAAAAGATAAGCTAGAAATTGGAAATATTTTTTTCTTATATGGAAAATTATTTTTTATGAAATCTTACTTCTCACCACTGAGCTGCCTATGTAAAAGAGGATAAAACACAAATTAATCCAAGATTTCATTCACAATAATGACTGTCTCAAACATGCCCACACATAAAGTCTTCTATGAATTTGAGGGTGCTCTGAAGACCTCATAGGTAAGGAGTTGAACTGCCCACATAAAGGCAGGCTGTTTAAATCCATCACGTACTCTGTGGAAGAAAGATCAGTAATCTCTTCCCATGCAATTTACAGCCTCTGAAAAATCAGCTGGAGGGTCAGGCAGGAGTTGGCTGCCACTCCACGACAATGAAAGAGAGGCAACTTAAGCAACTCCCCCCTGTGCCTCAAAGCCCTTTATCAGTACATTAAATGACTTCTTTCTCTATGTGACTTCTGATCTTGACTTTTTTCTTTAATTACCTATGCATATGTAGCATTGAGGACTCTCCTTCATAGGGTCACTATGAGTCTCCGGCGACTC